TGTGTGTGTGTGTGTGTGTGTGTGTGTGTGTGTGTGTGTGTGTGTGTGTGTGAAACCTTGAGAAAATGACAGAGATAAAAAACAATGAGCTTGAAAAAAATATCAGAAATGTGAAATCTGACCAAAGCCTTGTGAAAGAAGTCTGTAAAAACACATTCATGCAGCCAAAAGAACCTGCTGTGCCTTGTTCTCCTTAGTTGAGCCAAAAATAAAGAAAAACCTGTCCAAAGTTTAGGTATTGAAGTGTTTACAACTGTGCAATAAGGACACTAAACTTGGATTCTGAATGTATATCACAGGGTCAATAATTCTCTTCTATTTTATGAATTTATTACATCGGGGTCTTCAAACTCCACCTCTGCATTGAATATAAACCAGATTTACAGGTTTGGTTGTTTTTTGTAGAATTCTAAATTATACAAATTCTCTTTTGTAAATTTATTTGTAAATTCTCTGAATTACTGTGCCTAGTGACGCAGTAACTCATAATTTAATTTAATTTTTTTAATTTGATGTTTTATTTAAATTTAAAATGCATTGTTCAAAACTAATTTGTAAATGCTTCACTGCATCTTTTTTTTTCAAAGTGTCTGTATTTCTTCTTGTCATTTGTGAGACTAAGAGCACTCCTGTAAACGCTAATTATTCTGATTGTATTACTTTTTTGTTTGTTTGTATGGGTTTTATGATAATCTGTATTTTAATAACGTTATTTTGCTTTTAAGGGCTGAAGAGATTGGTTGATATCTTTATGACTGTATTTTTTTGTATTGTTTCTTTTGTAAATACAAAATTGTGAATCAATAAATCGATAAAGTATTGTTTTCAAGGTGACCTGTGTGTTTGTTTACAGTTTTTTCTCACACCTTTTTGCTTTTTCCTTACAAAGGTCTGTTTTTTTGAAAACAAAAAATAAAAATTTGGAACATTTAAATAGTAAATCAACTTTATGACAAATTTACATAGTTTGTGTGCAAAAAAGTGTATTTAATGATAAATCGCATCACTTTCAGAAATGACATTAAGGAACCTATTTATGTACAGTGGGTAAAATAAGTATTGAACACGTCACCATTTTTCTCAGTAAATATATTACTAGAGGTGCTAATGACATGAAATGTTCACCAGATGTTGGTAACAACCCAAGTGATCCATACATACAAAGAAATCAAACCATAAATGTCCAGAAATGAAGTTATTTGTAATAATGTGGAATGGRACAGGGAAAAAGTATTGAACACATGAAGAAAGGGAGGTGGAAAAAGACATGGAAATCCAAGACACCAGCTGAACTCTCTCAGTAATTAGAAAGCAAGCCTGCCCCTTGTCAGTGCAAGTTAATATCAGCTGGTTCAGTCCCAAATGATGGCCAGGTATCACACAAGAACCCTCTGATGATGGGTAAAAGTAAAGAGCTCTCTCAAGACCTTCACAACCTTATTGTTGCAAAGCATAATGATGGCATCGGTTACAGAAGAATGTCTAAACTTCTGAAGGTTCCAGTGAGCACTGTTGGGGCCATAATTCAGAAGTGGAAAGAACATTATTTCACCATAAACCGACCACGACCAGGTGCTCCTCACAAGATTTCTGACAGAGGAGTGAAAAGAATTATCAGAAGAGTTGTCCAAGAGCCAAGGACCACTTGTGGAGAGCTTCAGAAAGACCTGGAATTAGCAGGTACGTTTGTTTCAAAGAAAACAATAAGTAATGCACTGAACCACCATGGCCTGTATGCACGCTCACCACGCAAGACTCCACTGCTGAAGAAACAGCATGTTGAAGCTCCTTTAAAGTTTGCTGCACAACATTTAGACAAGCCTGTGTAATACTGGGAGAATATAGTCTGGTCAGATGAGACCAACACTGAACTGTTTGGATGCCAGAATACACATCATGTTTGGAGGTCAAATGGCACTGCACATCAGGCCAAAAACACCATACCAACAGTGAAGTTTGGAGGTGGGAACATCATGGTGTGGGGCTGTTTTTCAGCATATGGTACTGGCAAACTTCAAATAATTGAAGGAAGGATGAGTGGAAAAATGTACAGAGACATTCTTGATAAAAATCTGCTTCCATCTACCAGGATGATGACGATGAAACGTGGCTGGACATTTCAGCAAGACAATGAGCCCAAACACAAAGCCAAGGAAACTCTCAGTTGGTTTCAGAGAAAGAAACTAAAGCTGCTGGAATGGCCCAGCCAATCACCTGACCTGAATCCAACAGAAAATCTATGGAAAGAACTAAAGATCAGAGTTCATAGAAGAGGTCCACGAAACCTTCAAGATTTGAAGACTGTTTGTGTGGAAGAATGGGCCAAAATCACACCTGAGCAATGCATGCCACTAGTTTCTCCATACAGGAGGCGTCTTGAAGCTGTTATTGACAACAAAGGCTTTTGTACAAAGTATTAGATAAATTTCAGTAAGTGTGTTCAATACATTTTCCCTGTGCCATTCCACATTATTACAAATAACTTCATTTCTGGACATTTCTGGTTTGATTTCTTTGTATGTATGGATCATTTGGGTTGTTACCAACATCTGGTGAAAATTTCATGTCATTAGCACCTCTAGTAATATATTTACTGAGAAAAATGTTGACGTGTTCAATACTTATTTTACCCGCTGTATATCTTAAATCTACTTTGTAAACAGCTGAGTTCAAAATCATCCAAAACATTTAGAAAATATAGTGTATTTAGTTTAGTTTTCCATTCTAGACCATCAGTTTGSGTCCAATTATAATGTGTAAATGGTTGTTACAGTTAAAAATTATTCATGTTTGATGTTTGTGCAGATTGTAAATCATGGGAAAAGTTGATTTGATTTGATGGCAGAAGATTGCTGCTGTGGGATCAAAGCCAGCTGTGTTAGCTGTTATGGCTGGTTTTCAAAAAAAAAAGTATGTTCCGGACATTTTGAAGGAAGCACTTCTACCAGTCTTACTCGGGACATTGCGGGACAAATATCAGGGGATGAGGCAGGATGAGTTAATTAATGCATGCCATAGCCTGTATGACACTTTGGTGTTAARGCCAGAACAATCTTCAAATGGTGAGCGCTTGACCAAGGAGCAGTCCAAAGCAAAGGTGTGGCATGCGCTGCGGCATGGTAGGATAACTGCTTCAAGAATGAAATCTGTGTGTGTTGGAAACCCACAAGCCCCTGCTGAAAGTACTGTGACAAACATTTGTGGTGGAAGTACAATGGGTATCAGGTTCAGACACAACTATTAGCCACGAAGCAACCATACTGTGATTTTGTTGTTTGCGTTCAGAAGGTCAATGTTAAAAAGCTTCAAGAACTGATTGTTGCAAAATCCAAAAATTACTTCATTCAAGTTATTTTGCCAGAGATCACAGGCAGCCTTTACACACGTGAGCATGTGCACAATGTAAATCCCCTGCAAAGAAAAGCTGTAATTATCCGAAAATACACCAAAAAAGCAGGTGTTTAACAAATTCTCACATTTTGATTTTACATAACTGTATGCATATTTTCTGGTTCWYATAACATGACTGTGTAGTTTTTAATGCTTTTTTTACTGTGAATGCAAAAGAGCATTGGAATGAAAACAATTTTGACATTAAACCTCTCATAAAAGCTTGGAAAAGTATATATTTCACAGCAATGCACCTTGAATACCTTCAAATGTTGTTTTGAACTGTGACAAAAATTTTTTGCTTTTAGTTTTAATAAAAATTAACTCAAATAATTATATCCACGGCGGCACGGTGGCTCAGTTGGTAGAGCTGATGCCTCTCAGCAAGAAGGTCACTGGTTCAAATCCCGGTCTGGGGACCTTTCTGTGTAGAGTTTGCATGTTCTCTCCGTGCATG